CACAATGCGTCTCCTGATATATTTTGTTGTATTGATACAATATATTAAGTAATTGAAAATTGAAATGTAAAGCGCGGCCATTAATTCTGGCCCACTCCTTATTTTTAGAAATATGGTCGTTGTTTTATTGGTCATGTTACATGAAAGTTCAAATATCGAGATGAATACATCCATGATTACTCTACCTTACACTAAAATGAGAACTCCAGAGATCAAATCAAACTATGAGAAAGATCATCGCAAAAGAAAAATTTGTTTATAAATCAGTAATTATATGAAAATCGTTTCTACTATCAAGTGATTGAAGTATTTTAATGTGAAAAACTATGTGAAATAAATGATTGTCCTTTAAGCTTCATTGTGTGAAATAACTATTTCGGGCGAATCGGAACTGAAATTAAACAAAGCGTTTACTAGGCTGAAAGTAGGTCAAACAATTGATCATACTGTATATTATGAACCTTCAAAAGAGTTCTAAACTGATTAAGTTCAAATTTTCACCAATTATTCTCCTATTTGTAATTCAGTGTTGGCCATAGCGCCATATCGTACTAGTGAACAAAAATGGAGTTAGTGGTTTCCTAAAGAACTAGACTCCTGCTCCAAAATCGTTAGCTTTGGGAATACAGAGGCATTTTAACATAAATCCAAGATGATATTCTGAAGTAGCTCGCCTAGGTGCACCGAATGATATGCAACAGAAATGGCTTTTCAAAAGAAAGTTCAGCTTCAAGACCCAATAAAGTTCTACAAATCAGCCTTTTCGTATTTTGTAAACTCCCAAAACAATTTTTATCCAATTTATCTCAAACTTTCGCTAATTATCCTTCTACATCTGGTCCATTGTTGATCATAGCACCATTCCGCACCGGTAAGTACAGCTAGTAGGACGAGTCTTCCGAAAATTCAGGTTCTGTAAAGAAGACATCATTTTGGTGCAATGCTAAGGTGGCATTCCGAATTAACTCATCAAATTGCATCTAACTATGCCTAATTAAAAGCGTTTTTAGAAAAAAAAAGTTTTAAATATTATGCCAAAAAAGTTTCCAAAAATTCGCACTCTCCATTTTCGAAATATTACAAACAGCTCCAATTAAATTCAGCTCAAACTTTCAGGGAATATTCCTCCACGTAGAATTTAATGTCGGTTACAGTGTCGAATAGAATTAGTAAACGTCGACTAACTTGCGAGTGTGAGTGTAAGTGAAATGAATATCTACACCTACACTTATCCCGCACTCACACTCACACACCGACACCCTCAAGATTTAACAATAAAATCTGCCCGAATTTTAATTTTCTGGCATGGTATGCATCTGTCGAACTTTGTAATGCTATAAAGATATGTATATTTTAGATAGATATTGAAGGCAAGTGAATAGTGACCTTTATCACATAGACAGCATGAAAAACGAAGAAATAACACTTGATGACATCGAAACAGCTAAATTAATTTCGACTCACTGATTTTCGCTGTCTTCCACCACTCGAGATTGTGTGAGTCTTCTCTTGTTGGGATCGAATTCAGCTGAAAATGATTCTATTCATCCAATACTGTTAGCAGAATTTCTGAATCTCATCATCAGATGTTACACAGAACATGAAGTCTGTCTTGATCGCATCCAAGCATGGACAAGACTTGATATTCGTGTTCTTGTAGTTGTCATATCGGTCTTTCTAACGAGCACTCATATTTTGCCTTATGTTGACAGTAATGAGGTAGTCATGTTCATTCTGGACTATACGAATCTTGAACATGGAGCATTCTGGGATCAATATCCATCACTCGTCGATATATATATCGATTTGAAAGAACTGATAGAAAATCTTCGTGAATATGTTTATCTCGATGAGATAAATCGGATTGCATCATCGAATGTTGTCTCTCGAGCCGATGTCGACAATGGTTTTGGCACAGACAACCTATAAGTAGACGAGTTTTGTGATTAGAGTTCGTATGAGTAACACTACATTTTCAAATGAAAAATAAAAGGGTCACCTGCGCTATTGATACATACATCTACTTAGTGAGAACAATGTTAAATTGATTCAACTTTTAAGATTGGAGTTTTTTCGTTTCCCTCTAGACATAAGAGAACTGTGAGCCGTATATTTCAATAAATAAATATTGCTACTTAAGGGTGTGAATGTGAGTATGAGTAATAATGTTTTCTTTCCCCATCATCATTCCTACCCACATTCACACACAGCCCGCACCCCGTATTTTCCATTAAAGATTCATTCAAGCACGATAAGTCATTGCCAATAGAAATGTCTTCCATGTGATTTTTCATGCGCTATCTTTTGGTAGAATTTCGATCAAGTTTTCGAGTTTAAATATTCAATGAGAAAAAAACTTGTTTTTTCCGCAAAGCTTTCGATTTATCAAGTATTGATTATCGACGAAAATCCGGTGGGATCATCAAATCTCATGAAGACTAAAATTTGAAGGCGTAAAATTTTGTCGCGAGCTTATGGACCTTTTCTTTAGATTGCAAACTTCCAGAATACATCGATAGTCATTTATTCGAACAAGATAAACTGTTGCAAGTAGAAAATAATTATTAGTTAACATTGATCGTTCATTGAATATTCATTTGTTTGTTGGGTTATTTGGTGGTGATGCCGGTATATTTATACGTTGGACTGAACTTGCTCGACCGATATTACTAGCTGTTCTTGGTCTGATGGCGCCTGAACGCAGTGGTCTACCAAAATTGCTGCGGGGTGGATACCAGGGATTGCCAGTTCCGCTCGGATAATATCCATTATAGAGTTGTGGACTACTATAAGGAAACACGTTGTTCATTCCTAGTCCTTCGTATGGTATGCCTTGACCACTGCCATACAAATATGGTTGGTTGTATCCATACGCTAAAAGAAAACAAAGAGGAGACGAGACATATATCAACTTAGTCACAAACGGTTATAAGTATTGAATTGATTTTGTTGATAGTAGCCTTGCCAGTACGGATTCCAACCTGGAAAATTTGGATTGTAGGCAATACCAGTCTCTGGATATGCAATGTAGCTTTGCACTCCATAGTGGCCACTTGCTGCAAACGTATTTCCAGCTGGGGCAAGAACATCTGGCCATATTCCACGTCGTTTACGAAGAATTCGACCGTCAATTCCTGAAATTGTCAATATTACAGTTATGTTTGATGTTTGATTCAGATTTTTCAGTGAGAACAGATATTCACCAGTGACTAATATAATCAACAAAAGCAGAAACACTTTCAATTTTGACATTATCGATCGTTTTATCTGAAGGATAGCGTGACACGTATCGTGAAAAGATTGAGACGTGAATCTGCGCAATGTTTAGATGAAGTTTATAAAGAAAAAATATTAATCGATTCAATTCGATTTTTCACACTCACTTACTTTCTCTCTCTTTTTTTTCTTGTCGCGGCATTTTGTTCTTTCTTTCTTACTCGCATGCTTTGGAGCTGAGAGTGAAAGAGAAAGAAGGAGAAAGATCGACCTTGATAGTCTCGTTTTTGAGTTCTGCTAATACGTATTTATATTCAATCATTTATGGTCTCGTGTATTTTATTCATGGCCATTGAAAGAAACATGACAAGTGCACATAAAATTACCATCATCAAGATGAATCATTGAATGGAAGCACAAGAGAAACTGCAGTGGTAGATGTATCCATACAATTTGTGAACATCTATTATGGTTTGAATTTGTAGAGCAAATGGTCTTGAGATGGTATCACCTATGGGCCTTAATTTTCAATGAACACTTGTACACAGTTATATGTTTGCTCTTACATTTTTTCAATCTCTATATTGGCATAATGTTGTTTTCTCGATGATGTTTTACTTCCAGCTGATATACTTGATAAATGACATCTAGACTTAATTCAAGTATTTAATTTCAAATTCCATCTTGGCCAACATTCATCATCGGCAAAGTCAACCGATTTAATCGAATCGATTTTCAAAGTCTACAAAAACACTCATTTTTAATTGAAAAATTCGATATACCAAAAGAGTTCTTGGCGTCAACGTGCAAATACTGTTTTCTCATCAGAAATAATCCGCCAGGAATGTGTAATATTGACTGAAACGGAGTTGTCTTGACGAAGGCATATATAACGTTTTCAGACTGCGTTAGTCGAATGATTTCGAAGTGACACTCAGTATGAAACCACTTCTACGAAATCTTTATTATACTAACTCAGAAAAGGGTTCGATATGGAACTCCCGTTTCACAAAGCCAAAAAAGGATCTTCGCCGAGCACACGAGGAGATTCTTTTTTTCCTAAAGTGCAGTGCCTGTAATGCTGGGTGTCTATCGTGCACTAAACTGATCATTATAAGTGTAGTGAGTACGCAAGTATGTTTCCATCTGAAATTAAAACAATATATAAAAACATCAATACTCTGAAGACGATAGGTATTCATTGATATTCGAGAATATGTGACACCATTATTTATGAAGAATAGAAATATGGAAGAGTTAACGGAAAAAAAACTAAGCCAAGAAAAAGGTTAATTGTTTCGACCAATCAAATGTTTTAGGTTGTTGATAGGATGTGATATATGAAAAATGCGATATCATTCTCACTTCGTCGTTTTTTCAAGTGAAAATGAGAGATCTTCAATAAATAAAAATAATAAAAAAAAAGGAAATCCTTCCAAGAATACGATTTAGAAGGAAAGAGTGTGGATGCAAGTATTGGTGTGAGCATGTGATAAGTAGGTCGAGAGAAGAAACACATCAACACTCACTGCCACATCCATATCCGGATATTTGGCTAATGAATTTTATTTGGTTGAATATTAAGAGAATTAACCGTTCATCGTTGGAGATAGATAATAAAGTAAGTATTATTTATGATTATTGAATATAAATAAATTTATCCTTGAAATCTACGCTTTGTCTCGTTTTCTTTAAAAAAAACTTGTCAGATCGGAATGTTTCTCATTGACAATAGATTGGTATATATATATATATCTTTATGATAAACAACTTGTTCCATTACTTCGACGATTGTTAAATCTTGAAGAATTAATGCTACATCTTTCAGTAATAAGAATTGAATCAACTCATATTGATAATAATCAATTATATGATGACGTTCTTAACTATATGCTATGACTAAACAAATTTATCTTCACTATACATACTCACATTATTAACAGTCGTATTGGAATTGGTGTTCTATCGAATGATGATATACGGAATAGTTTTATTAATAGAGGATTTCAATCAATTGATATATGTGCTAATAATAAATTCATGAATAATAGAGACAACTGGCATACTTACTCTCTTCCATATCAATTCGACGATTTTTGGTTTGAGTAGTTGTTTTCAAGGTAAGAAATTCGATAAAATTCGAATGTTATTATTATTTGATAGACGTCCATTTGAACATAAATTATTCAAAATCATCTCTCAATACTTTCATTTTCTTCAAAGATTAATTATATTTAATTTTGAATCACAAAAAACAATGAACAACATCATTCGTTTACATTATTTATATTTAACCATCTGTTTAAACTCAGTATTATGAATGTACACAGTGACTATGTTACACAGTTTCTTTTTGATAGAAACATTCGTTTACCTCGTTTGACGAATCTCATAATTAATTACCAAAAATTAGTAATTGTGATCAATAGTTTTACCAATGATACGATAATGTCTTAAATGTACTAAAATACAATTTCTAATTACATGTGAACTATTTGGTTGTTCA